GACGTGACAATGGGGTCAATAATCTGTCGTGTGTCTATTGGTGTGTCGGCCAAATAAAAGAATATTAAGAAGACTATGTAAGAATCCAGCGCATCAAATGAATGGACTGCGTGATTGTTGCATTAAGTATAATTCACTTTACAATAACAATCATGTTATATGTACATCATTTTTTACATTGTACCACGCGACAACACGTTATTGAACAGTTTAAAAAAAATAAAAAATAAAAAATAATTCCAATCAAATGATGCCAACTTTTACGATGTCAAAAGTGATATTAAGAAGACTATGTAAGAACCCAGCACATCAAATTAATGGACTGAGTGATTGTTGCATTAAGTAGAATTCACTTTACAATAACAATCATGTTATATGTACATCATTTTTTGCGTTGTACCACGTGACAACACGCTTTTGAACAGTTTAAAAAATAAACAATTTTTTCACCAATCAAATTATGCCAACTTCAACGATGTCAAAAGTGATGTACACTTTTGATGTATAATTTACAATAAACCTTCCATGTATCTCCAATCTAATTGCGAATTTGTCCAAAATCAAAATAGATAATGTAAAGTTTAATTATTATTATTTTTATCCTTAATGTACGTTGAAAAGAACTCTATCAAAACTGACTTTTTTTTATCTCGATCCATAATCAAAGACTATGTAAGATGTTAAGACTTGGGGTCCATCTTAATAAGGTCAACCTTATTAAGTGGAGAAGTCCAAGATCTTTATAAATTCGTATTTATTTCAATATTAAATCGATGTGCGATAACACATTCCTTAACAGGCCCCCTTGAGATGGTGGCTCATTTGAACAGACCAATCTTGAAATCCACGGGGTGGCTCTAACATCATGTTAAGACTTGGAGTCTATCTTAATAAGGTCAACCTTATTAAGTGAAAAAGTCCAAGATCTTTATAAATTTGTATTTATTTCGGTATTAAATCGATGTAGGATAACACATCCCTTAATATAAGACCTGCTCAATCAACGAATTTTTATTCTTAATTCTTATACATATTTATTTTACTATGCAGATTTAGATGTGATTTTGTTTTTATTTTAAGAAATTAAAGACATATATACATCATTATTGGGTTGTCACTATATGTTAATGACAAGTTAATCAAAAGCCTTTCAACTTGCATGTCACTTAGATAGCAATTTGTAGAATGCATTGGAGATGCTCAAAATAAATATTCGATAAATTAGCCTTTAAATAATAAAAGGTTCAGTCCCAACTCGAACGTCGTTTATAAAATTAACAACTTCTTTAAATGCCTAAAATAAAAATTTCATTTAAAATCCTTTAGGACGCTACAAACATATAAAAAATATCTAATTAGTAAATAATAGTTTATAATACATCTTAAGGATTTTTTTACTTATGTTTCTCAAATAGGCGTTTTCTTAAAATATGCATATAAAGTCGTTTATTTTTTCTTTGTACTCAAAATGAACTAATCATAGGCTTTTGGAAAGTTCACTTTGATGGCACACTTAGGGCACGGGGTGTATGGATCAAGCAGTCGTACTAGACTTCAGGATGGAGCACCAAGAAAGGTAGAAATAAATGTGCCGAATTCTAGGCAAAGAAAGTGAGTAATTAGGGCTTCTGTGGAAACTGAATCTACGAGTGTTGGAAGTATTTATCTTCACATTTAGGTCAATAGCTTGAAAGAGTTATTCTGAAGAAACAATTAGTAAAACTCATTATTGTGAATCGTATATAACAACCTTAAATAACCTCTTGGTCTATAGGTGATTCCATCACATTCTTATAGTGTAAACTAGAAATAACTTTATGTAATATATGTTTGCCTTCATCTTACCCAACTTTGATCTAAAAGCAATATTTAATGCCAAAATATAATTTAAAATGATTATTGTCTTCATATCAGTGTTTCAGGCATCATTAGTAAAAATTGTAGCATTCAATATATTTATTTAGTTTTAGATTTGTTGCCCCTGTGCTTTCTAATTCTCTTCTCTAAACAATTTAACCAAAAAGAACAACCGTTAATGTGTACTCTTAAAACTTTAAATGTCTTTTCCTGATTTGAATGTGTTCTTACATTAGATCTTGAATTCCAAAAGTTCTCTCAAATTCTTCTTACTTCCAACTTCCGTATTTTCTATAGCGCCCTTTAAAAATTTGAATATTAGAGTAGATTTTCAAATGATGTACGTTGTGGACATCAGAAGGACCGAATCAGTGTTTTCTCTACCATTTTCTACACTTTCTGGTATCCAAAATACCAACTTTTATGCATTCATTTTCTTCTTAAGCATTTTATGTACTATATTATACTATAGATATTAAGTAGAAACTTCGAGTATAGACTTCAAACTCTTCATGTTCGAGTTGTCTTCATGGGTGCACAAGGCACACAACACTAAAGTTGTTATTGAATCCTAAATGTGTCCCAAACCCCATTTCTCTCCTCCGCCATCTCTAAACGTAGCGTCGCCACCCAAACCTGGTACCAACACCATCCATCACCCAAATCTACATAATGTAGATGCAAAAATCACCCAAGCGTCTAAAACTCGATCATGGATGATCATGTACTCTTGTCCCCCCCCCCCCAACAAAAAAAAGAAACTTGGTGTTATGGTAGTAGCATGGCATACATATCTTAAAGAGGAGGCGTACAAAGATCTTAATCTACCCTCTTTTTTCTGAGTTTTATTTCCCCAAACACGGAGCTACAGTGGTGATTTATGGTGAATAGAATGGTGGTGGTGATGATGATGTTGGGTATCAAAATAGAATTAAATCAAACATGTTCGGTTTGAATCGGTTCAATTTAGGCCCCTAAACGGTTTGGTATTCAGTTTGGGATTCGACCCAGCCTGAAAAGTCTTTTTGATGGTTGTGTTATGTCCCAATTCGACTCGTGACAACCTCTAAGTGGGAGTGTACGAGAGAATCCTTGACCTTAGCACTGAAAACAATAACTCCTAACTAGAGGTGGATATGGTTCCATTTGGTTCAGGTGCTAAGAGAACCAAACTGAACCATAAAACAATGATTTTTTTTTATTATGGAATCAAATGGTTATTTTAAGATATGGAATTGAATCGAATTGAATCATTCAGTTCTGGTTTAGTTTGATTTGGTTTTATTTTTATATTAAATTTTCAAACTTGTACTATATTAGTTAGTAATATATACCTAAGTCCCTATTTGGTATCGATTAAAATTCAAATTTTAATCTAAGTCAAAGTCAATAATTAATTTTAAATATATTTTGTGGGTCCCACAACTTTTTTTACCACCAATTTCATTAACTTTTATCAAAATCTACCAAAAAATTGATTTTCATCTCCACCAAATAGGGGACTAAATTTTAATATAAGTCAAATTCAATAATTAATTTTCAATATATTTTGTGGGTCCGACAACTTTTTTTACCACTAATTTCATTAACTTTTATCAAAATCTACTAAAAAACTGGTTTTAATCTCCACCTAATAGGGGGCTAAACCAAAAAATAAACATCAATCATTCAGTACTTTTAAATTATCAATAATAAAGTTCACAAAAATTCAAACTAACAAAGAAAATATAGTTATAACTTGAATCTACAAATCAGTTTTCTTTCCCATGCGAAAGGTTGTTTAATAAGTGATAACAATGATTCATTTATTATTACAATAGTTTTGACGGCACAACCCCAAAAAGGATGAATTATGCAAAATTTTTACCGTCGACTTTTACGTAGGATCATTAACCGCTTAATATTCCATAAATGTTTATTGAATTTTCCTCTATTTGTAAAGAGCACAAATAATATCAAACAATCAAGTTAAAAAAAATAGTTTAAAAGCTTTTTAAGTAACTAAACAATTTTATTTTCTGATCTTCAAAAAGTCTTATACATTGAAGTGATAAAATACGGTGCTAGCGTGCTGTGAAGTTGTGTAAATTGAAAAGGAGTGAAGGAAAAATAATTCAAATGAATACAAAATTAGGACACAATTAATGAGTTGTCTCCAATGACCAAGAATCGATTAATAGGCTGTATCCAATTAATGGACTTCTCCAATGAATATTAAATTAGGGTCTCCACTAATATATATGGCACCCCGAAATTTTAATTTCTACTCTCATATGGGACTAAGTTTAATGTTAGTTATTTAGCAAATGAAATAGTTCATATCTAACCTTGTCGTTACACTGAAGTTCAAAAATGATTTGCAAGTATTATATATTTTCTCTTATGTACTTTTATGAAAAAAGTGTCGTTATCAAAAAGGAAGATCCCGAAGTTTTGTTCTTACAAGAGACAGAACTGAACACAACAAAAATGGAATTCTGTCGAATAAAAATGATATTCTATGGCTGTTTTAACATGGAGGCGGTGGGGCATAGTGGAGGAATAGCAATCCTTTGGAAATCATATGTCCATTTAACTATTCTCAGCTACTCAAAAAGTCATATTGATGCGAAAATCGAATCACCCCTGCACAGTTGGTTTTTAACAGGTATCTATGGTCACCCCGATACCAATAAACGTATGGAAACCTGGAATCTAATACGAAGTATGAAGAGGGACCCTTTAGAACCATGGCTGGTCTTTGGGGATTTCAATGAAATTTTATCTAACGAGGAAAAATGGAGAGGTCGTGACAGACCTCGACACCAACTAGAAAGCTTCCAACAAATGTTTTTTGATTGTGAACTAAGAGATCTCGGGTTTAAAGGGCCCCATTAGACTTGGAACAATTGAAGATACGACTCGACACAAATTTTTGAAAGTCTCGACCGTTTCACTGCAAATGCTTCCTGGTGTTGATTATTTTCAGAAGCCACGATCACTCATGGTTCCACAGCATATTCAAATCACTATACTATTTGGATCCAGCTTTATGGTACTCACCAAACTCCCAAAGGACCTAAACCATTCCGTTTCGAATCAATGTGGATAGGTGAAAAGGCATGCATAGATATTAAACTTGATAATTGGTCCGATTCTAGCCCTCAGGTCTCGATAACATTATGGAAAATATTAGATGTTGCAGCAATCAGCTTCAGTCTTGGAATGTATCCAAGTTTGAAGTGCAAGTGCAAGTGCAAGTGCAACTCAGCAACGCCAAAACAAAGCTTGCGTAGATTCAAAGTTAGGATCCTACAACTATAAATTCAAATGATCTTCGACAGGCCACCGAAGAAGTACAAACTTGGATGGATAAAGAAGAACTTATGTGGAAACAAAGATCAAGAGCTGCTTG